GAAATGCTCCAGCAGGAAGAGCATGGCACCTGGGAGAGAGAAATGGGATAGGAGAGGTGCTGATGAGTGGAGACTTCAGTCGATCCCTCCCTCGTCCTTCACCATCTTCAGGATGAAGAAAATCTGGAAGCGAAATACTGGCAACGATAGCATGGGAGTTGTGGGGGAGTGGTTTGGAGGGGAGCTGAAGTTTGCTAAAGAGCCTGTCTCCTTGGAGGGGACATGTCAGTGATCAAATGAGACCATATCCCTGCCATCAAGGAGGGTACATTCTCTGGGTGGGGGGCACAGATACCTAAGTTTACACAGAGTATATCAGCTAGTGCCAAGTGTTACACAGAAACACAAAGCACAGTAAGGGAGATCCAGAGGGGCTGGATGCTCGGCATAACGTGCTCAAAGACATACAGGAATTGCCCGAACAAGCTCTGCGGCTCACGAAGAGCATTCCTGACAGAAGGAGCAGCGAGTGCAAAGGTCCTGAGGCAAGAACTCAGTTGGTGAGTTTGAGAAGCAGTAAGGAGGCCAGTGTACCTGGACCGGAGCAATGAGGGGTAGTGTGGGAGCGGGTGAGGTCGGATCACGCAGGGCCCTGTGAGTGATTATTCAGGTCTGTATGTTTGCTATAAATAGGACTGGACACCCATGGAGGCTTCTGAACAGAGGAGCCCCGAAGCCTGATTTATGCGTTAAAAGGGTGGTGGCTTGGACCAGGGTGGTAATGGAAGGGGTGAGAAGCTGATGGATTGGAGATCTACTTTGAGAGTGGAGTCAACAAGATTTGGTGATGGATGGGATCGAGGGTACGGAAGAGAAAGGAATCAAGGATAAGTCTAAAGTTTCTGGCCAAAGCAATCCGAAAGACAGAGTGGGCATTTATCAAGATGGTGAGGACTTTAGTAGGAGCAGGTTGGCTGTGGTGGGGGAGGGGGCCAGCTTGTAGCAGGGAGCCAGGAGCTGAATTTTAGATACAGCACAAAGAGAGATACCCAGCAGGCAGCTGGACAGACACGAGGCTGGAGATCTCAAGCTTGGAGCTTATTAGCTTCTAGACTGTATTTAATCTGTGAGCCGGAGTGGATTCACCAGGACACTAAGTGTGCTTGGAGAAAAGAGATCTAAGGAATAAGTCCTGGATCCTGCCAAGTTTAGAAATTACAGAGATAAGGAGACTGAGGAGGGGCAATTGGTGAGGCAGGAGGAGAAATGAGCGGGTGGTGAGTGAAGAAACTATCAGATGCTGCGGAAGGGTCCAGGCAGATGAGAAGCACAGTGTGGCCACCAGATCTGGTCACTTCCAGGTCCCTGGTGGCTGTATCAGTGGCTGTTAGGTGAAGACCTAGCTGGAGTGCTGCTATGAGACAATGGAGGGAAGCAGTCGGAGGTGCTGAGAACAAATTGCCACAAGGGGAAAGTGGGGCAGTAGCTAAAGCCGCATCAGGGTGTTCTGTTTTCTTAAGATGGTGATGCTGTGCTGATGGCTGCGATCTGGTAGAAGGACAACCTGCTGATCAAGGAGAGAGGGTGGAGAATCCCTAGAGGAATCACCAAGCAGGGAAGAAGACACGGGCTCTAGCTGGTGCCTGGACCATTTCCAGGGCTAAGCACATGAAGAGTGTAGGTCTGTGGATATGGTGCTGGAAGGTACATGGGTCGCTTGAAGACCACGACCGTGAAGAAAGAGGCAACAAGCTTGTGTTTTCTTCTCCAGCCCCGTTTGGCTGCACAGAGACACCCCACGGAGGTAGAACTGGATTTAACCAGGGCTGGGGTTTAACCCAGGAAGTACAACGTGATGGGGAGGTTTATGTGTCCATGTGGTGGTCTCCATTGTTCCAGCAGACACTAGTCCAGGGGCTGCTCTGAAGATATTCTGTAGCTGTGGTTAACATCTACAGTCAGTTGACTTGAAATCAAAGGAGACTATCCTTGATAATCTGGGTGGGCTTCATTCAATCAGTTGAAAGGCCTAAGAGTAAAAGCTGTGGTTTCGGTAAGAAGAAAATCTGCCTCAGGACTGCCTGAGCTTGCAGCCTGCCGGCCTGTCCTGCAAATTTCAGACTTGCCAGCCCCCACAATCCATGTCTCCCTGGTTATTTCTCTGGACAACTCTGACTGATACATACAATGAGAAGAAAAGGGTAAGAGGGCTGAGAATCATGCAGGAGAAAGTCAGCCATAGACTTGGCAGCAGGGAGGCTCTGAATGGGGTGCGGGATAGTGGGAAAGGGCCAGATGCCTGGGTGGGTCACACTGGTAGAGTAGAGGTCTTAGAGGCTGTGAACTGGCAAGATAGGAGCTGGGGCTCACAGTGCAACACCTGTAAGTGAGATCATGGAGAGGACACACTTACTGGGGATGACCGAGGTCCAGGTCTAGGGAATGACAACGGGAGTGGAGGCCAAGGCGAGGGTACTGGCAGGATCATACGTGTGAATACTGAACTTGCCAACAATTACGATGAGGTTGACCTTGGCCAGGAGCTAAAACCACTGAGAAATGAGATGGAGTCACCTGGGAAAGGGAGAGGGTGGCTGTGGATCATGGCCACAAGGAAGGGTACTAGGGTATGTACAGCCTGCTGGTATTAACTTCAAAGCTGGAGGGAGCTCGGGTCAGGGTGAGAGAAGCAGTGATGATGAACAAGGAAGACTTCTACCCCATCTCCAGGCCCACAGGTGGGGAGGGTTGGGTAAGGAAGACAGCCTGGAATTTGACAGGGCTGCAGGGGAAGCCATGGCCTTAAAATCCAAAACAAACAAATAAACAAACTATAGCCAATGATGCCAAAGCCGAGAAGAAGAGCCCAGTGACAGGCTGACGGAAGCCACTGTGATACATACAACGTGCAAAGGACTGTCTCAAATAGAAAGGAATTACACATCCCTAGGAAGAACACGGCAAAGCCAAAGACAAATGAGCGAAGGTCAACGACACGCATTTCACAGAGGAGGGTCAGGTAAAGGTGTGGCACCTAGCCAGGGGGGACATGTGACACTAAGCGTCACTGAGGTAGCACTTCACACTCTCCAGAAGGGCAATACCAAAAAGTCTAAGAACACCAAGTGCTGGCAAGGACATGAGCAATGGGAATCCTACCACATGGCTGCTGTGAACTTAAGTGACAAAGCAGCCTTGTTGAGCAATTTGGCAACATCTTAAAATTCAAAATATTAACACCCTTATAACTCGGCTAAATCTTGAAAACATTAAGGGAAAGAAGTCAGTCACAAAATGACAAGTATTATGATTCCACTTATGTGAAGTGTCCAGAATAGAGATGGGAGATGTATGGTTGCCAAGGGCTGGCGGGGGTGGGGAGGACAGGAAACGGGGAATGACTGCTAGCAGGCCTGGGGTTTCCTTTCTGGGTGGTGACAATGTTCTGGAATCACATAGCGGTGAGGGACGCATCACTTTGTGAACAGACTAACAACCACTGAATTGTACACTTTAGAAATGTGAAATTTATGGAATGCGAATTATATCTCAATTAAAAAAAAAAACTCCAGCAACTGCACTTTTGGATATACACTCTGCGGCCACAGTCGGCACACTATGGCCTGCGGACAACTTTTTGTAAATAAAATTTTATTGCTACTCAGCTACACCCACTCATTTATGTATTGGCCACACTTGCCTTCGAACTACCAGGGAAGAGTGGAGTAGTAGTGACAGAGATGACAGTTACTCATTCTCACTAGTAACAATGTGGGTGTGTGTTAAATTCTTTCCTATAACTTTACAATTTTTCAAAAAAACTTTTCTTTTGGAAACAACAACTTGGCTGGCCTCTGAGCAGCGTAAGTCTGGTAGTCTCCCTTCAGGGGCCTGGGGCAATCGGCAAGTCTGGGTGGTCTGTTACCTGTTGGCTGCAGAGGTCGCCCAGGAAGAACTGCACGCGGGGATCGTCGAACCCTTGCCGAATGTCAAATACGTTGACAGCGTAGCCTCTTGCCAGCAGCTGCTCCACCATGTGCTGCCCCAGGAACCCAGAGCCTCCGATCACTGTGCATTTTGTGGCCTGCAGAAAGGGAGGGATGGCAGTGGGGTACGGGTGTGCTGAGAACTGGAAGCTATTAAGAGCCTGGACTCACAGACCATGAGCCACTGCGATGGCAGGTCCATCTCTTAGTTTGAAACTCTTCTTGAGCCAAGTTGGAAGCTTCATATAATTCTGGTGCCCTATCACCAATGCCAACCTTCTCTCCTGGGATCAGGAGAGGCAGGATAGCAAATGACACTGAGGCAAACTTTGGTTAGACTGGATGACCTGAGGGGAGTTCCCTGGTGGTCCAGTGCTTATGACTCCGTGCTTTCACTGCCGTGGCCCAGGTTCAATCCCTGGTCGGGGATCTAAGATCTCACAAGCTGCACAGTGCGGCAAAAAAAAAAAAAAGTGACAGCTTCTTGTTCCCAATAGCTGATCCATGGGCACTTCTAAGGCAAAAAGCAAACCAACCAACCAACCAACCACACACATGAATGGAAAAACAAAACAAATCAAAACGTGCCACCCACTCAATTGACAATGTGCACTTAAAATATCAGAAAGGAGAAAGCAGAGTTTCCTTACTTGCAGGGGAAAGTCAGCCCCCTTTGCTCCCCAACCACTATAGGGCTGGCTGTGTGGCTTAGGGCTCGTCACCTAACCCCTTCTCGCCTTAGCACATCCATGTAAGACTGTGCTTTTGTCTGATGGGATCTCTTGGTGGGGTTGCAGGGAGGATGGGTGAGCTGTTCATCAGCCAGGCCCAGGGCTTTGCTTCCCCTTCTCTGAGCTCTGAGGAAGTTGAAAAATTAGGGGAGAGCTATGGTGTTTACATTTCAGTTTCCACAACACATGCACTCTTTTGGCTAAATTCCAACTCTTGTAACTGGGGATAAAGGAAGGACAGTGCACCACATGCAGGCACTTAAATGTTCTGACTCCAGGGAGTCGATGCAAAACTGTAGCTGGTGTACGCTGATGAAGCTGGCTATAAGGGTCCCAGATGGAGGACCTGTTATATCCCTCCTCCCTGGGGTCTTTGTAAAACCATATCTGGGCTTCCTTAAGATGACAAACCCCCATTCTTCCCTGAGCTCACGTACAGTAAATCAAAGTTGGGGATGGTAAGTAGAGATCTTAAAGAAATTCTGCTTCTGATTAAAAAACCAACCAACCAACCTGCTATGTATGCTTTAAATGCCTATATAATTGAGACATGCAGGAGACTGCAGAGGTGCCAGAACCTCTTCTATGGATCTACCCCTCTCAACCTGTCATCCCATCTGGAATGGTATTGTTAGTGGAGTCCACCAGGCCATCTGCAGATGGCTCTGTAGCTTTAGCATCATTTGTTCAGGCATTTGTAATCTCCTGACAGAGTCAGCCTCACTATGCCACCCCCCCACCAAATTATCTTTTAAGCCCATTCTTGTCTATGCTTCAATTACTGCCATATACATGTAATCATAGCATGCTACATTATTTGCACCTGTACTAAAATTTCTAACACACCCCCAGGGCATGGGCAAATGAAATTACACAAATCCCACTTGATCCCCCTTTTGGCAATCCCTTATCCTCCCGTTCCCCCCAAGTCAGCTGCACAGGCAAATGCAGTTTTTTAGAATAACTCTGAGCATCCTTGCTTCCCAAGCTATTTTTTCTTGGTTTAGTAAAAGTTTGCCTGAGCCCAAAGAGGGTCTGAACTAGACATGTCTAAGGGCATCCCAAAGGATTTCAGAGTCTCTTGTTTATATTATCTGCAATCTCTAGTTACAGTTGTTTCAAAAGGCTGATATAGTCTAATTAAAAACAAATCAAATAACCTTGCTACTATGTCTAGTGCAATCTCGTTTCATGATTTTAAATGTGAGCAATCCATACTCCTCTCTTTGACAGTGATGTGGATTTTTTTAATTATATTGAAATGTTGTGCCAACATTGCCTGGGAAGCGTGGGTCAGCAGCTGTGCCACAGAGAGTTTTGTAATGATGAGAACAGAGCTGGCATTTACCCCAGAGAATTCAGATGTGGGATGGAACCATGGTATTCGGTTACAGGAGATCATGTGAAATAACCACTTAACTTTTCATGGCCACGAAAGATGGTATGGGGCAAGTGGGCCCAGCAGACAAGAAGGAATATGCACTAACAAGTAAGAATGAAACTCCAGACTGGAAACAGGCAGCAAGACTCAAGAATGGGTTACTTTCGGGAGTTATAAAATTGACATCTTGGAGACAGTTTTAAGAATAGGAAAAGGAAAGAGGGGCTTCCCTGGTGGCGCAGTGGTTGAGAGTCCGCCTGCCGATGCAGGGGACACGGGTTCGTGCCCTGGTCCGGGAAGATCCCACATGCCGTGGAGCGGCTGGGCCCGTGAGCCATGGCCACTGAGCCTGTGCGTCCGGAGCCTGTGCTCCGCAACGGAAGAGGCCACAACAGTGAGGGGCCCGCGTACCGCAAAAAAAAAAAAAAAAGAATAGGAAAGGAAGCCATCTAGACATACTATTTCATTGCAATATGATCTTGAGATAAGAGAATGCTCCAGGTCACTGGGTTTATTCCATCCTTTTCTGTTTTCCCTTGTCTTTAGCCGTGGGTCATTTTCTCAGAGAAGTCTTACACAGAATGTATATATAAGTTAGGGTGAAAGTGTTCTTTTTATTGTAGTACTTTGTGTAACTTTTACTTCCTATAAAGTCAATCAATGAGAACGAACAATCATCCGAATCCAGATTGTTTTTGGTTGCTGAGTAAAGTCCTGATTCACACAAATAATGAACTACAGATGGCAAGGAGCTCCGGTGGTTTGTCTGAGCACTAGAATCTCAGATTAACACTCAACTACAGAGGCATAGAGAAGGCTTTACTCTGAGCTGTACACTAAAACCAGGGTGATCTGCTGACCTCTGGCAACCTCCTGGGAATCCTTAATTTACTAACATTTGATACAAACACATTTTTTACCTTGGTGTGATTTCATTTCTGAAGTGTTCGTTCAGCAAAAGTGAATCCAACCCACCCTTTGCAGATCTTTGTGGAAAAATCTCCAAGAGGCCTGACAATTCCTTCAAGTCCCTTCTGACACTTGCGATGCTAGACTTTAGGAGGCCTTGCTACCGCCCTTGCTGGCCCTGGAAAGGCTTCTGCCATTCTACCCAGAAGCACAGTCTAACCTGCTGGAGGCCACGTGAAGGCAAACCGAGGCACCCAGCTGACAGCCAGCAGTTACTGCCATGTGCGTGAGGCTGCCTGGAACGTACACCTCAGGGTCCCCATGATAGCGGCTGTGAGAGCAAGCCCAGGGGAGACCCACCAAGGAACCCCTGCCCCCTGCTGGGCCGAGCCCAACCTGTAGAATCGTGAACAAAGAAATGGGTGTTGTTTTAAACCACTACATTCTGACAGAGTTTGTTACACAGCAATAAGTAACTGGTGCCTTAAATAAAGATATATATCTTCTATAAAGAAACAATACTCAACACTGATTGATTTAATAAATGAATCAAATACGATTTTTAACCCATAGCTACGTATCAATGTCTTGTTGGTATGTATGTGTTCGACTTTCCCCTTATCTGGTTTTGGTTAACCCTTTTCGTACTCACTTTTGGAATGTCTTCTGTCAAATGTGTCCATGTGCCCTGGTCTCGCACTGGCTCACCAGCTGCTTGTTCCATTTCAGCTGCAAATTTGGCCCTGTCTGCAGTCAACTTTTCGGTCCTTAAAGACATATTTAGAGACAGACATGTTATATAAACTGAACCATCTTTTAGTTATTAGTGTTTTGTGTGGATGCGCCCCCCCCACACACACATGGAGTTTTAACAAAGAGCTCAACCATAGCTTCAGCTGCTGGATGAAGCACTCAGCGAACATTCCTGTGATGCAGGCTGCCCTCAGAGAAGGGCCGGACTGGGCCCATAACTCACTGTACATTTGGCTACAGGCAGAACAGGAAGCCAGTTAAATAATCTCATCCATCAGTTACAATGAAAAGAATATGTCTAACATCACAGCTTTTCCCACAGCACTTGAATTATTGTCTATTTCTCTCGAGTCGATCAGTAGACTAGTAGACTGTGGCAGCGCAGTGGGAAAACGCACAGACCCGGGGAGGCCCAGGTTCCAGTCCTGGCACTGTCAGAAAGTGTATCAATCTGCTCAAGCCATGTCTCTTTGCTGCAGCTCAATAAAACAGACTCAGTGCTCATCCCCATGGTGCCAGGGCATGGGATGCTTGGGAGGAGGAAGAGTAAGAAGAGACAGAGCTCTCCTTGTCGGTGGAATTAAAGCCACCCTGACCACATATAGAACTCAGAGTGTCTGGGGCCACCGGAAACCCTCGGGAAGTGGTCAGAGTGTGGTGGGGACCCAGAAGTTCATAACCAGGAGACAGTAGCAAAGCATATCAGGTGATAAGGTCCCACAACAAGACCAAACCACTGAACTGCAAACAAAGAGAAGCCGTTCAATTTGGGGTTACAGTGCATTCGGTCTTGCATCTGCTTTCTTGGCAGTGGTCAATTTACCTAAGTCACAGATTCCCTAACACCCGGGGATGGCAAAATCCATGACAAAGAAAGTCTAACTGCTTGCAAAAGGCTAGATTCAGAGAATACTCTTCAGTGAGGAGGTGGCAGGCAGGCAACCCAATTACACACACACACACACACACACACACACACACACACACACACACTGTCATGTGTCCCTGTAGGAGCTGATTTTGTGGCCTGGAAATGGATGTTAGGATCCTCAATGTCTGATGGAGCCATTTTGGGGAAACATATTTCTGCAACCACAATGGAAGTTATTAGGAAATATATTTCAAAACTTCATTTCTCACAGAACTTTTTAGAAAGCACATCAACGAATAAGCAAAGTTCACCTGTAGTTCTATGCCTATCCCGTCTGTCTTGTACACCATAATCCTCTTTGTGTTGGCAGATGGCCCTGTCATCTGTTCTCCCTAAACAGATGTGGCTGGCGAACATTTTATTCATTTGGTTCAATGTGCATCCGCCAGGGAACAAGGATCTGGGCACCTGCACCAAGGCCTAGCAAACAGTGTGCCTAGAGGTCCTGTCTGTCTTGCTCACCACTACATTTTGGCTCTCACACATCCACTGGACTCATGAATACATGGTGTGTGTACGCACCCATGCTTTCTGCTTTCAACCGCGTACAAACAGACACCGCCATCTAAGATGCAGGAGCTTCACTGGGGGCAAATGGGTTTGTTATTTTTCCGGTGGTGTTACACTCACCAATACCCACTGCTGGTTTCTTACTCAATCTCTCCTGATACTCAGGGAAGCATGAGGAAATGAGAGGGCAGAGAGCATTTGGAGTGCTGTGGTCACAAGCCCAGGGACACCTGGAGCCCCCAGAAGCTGGCAGAGGCAGGAAGGATCCTCCCCTAGGGCTTGCGGAGAGAGCCTGGATCCATAACATAACTTTCAAATAATGCACATACAATTCTCAGCAAACCAGCCTCTTGTAAAAACAAAACCAAAACCAAATCTAATTTGTCTCAAATTATATACAAATTATTTTAAAGTTTGTAAATACTTTAAGCCAGATAAGAATTTTGCTGATACTTTAGTTGTCTCTAGAGGCTGGGTACCCAGGTCTAGCCTAGGGAATGAATCAGATCCCACTGGCAGCCCCCCTCCCCTTCAACCTAAATCCCCCATGTGATGTATGTTCACGTCCAAATGAACACCAAGAAGAGTTGTGATTTAACAGACATTTCTCTAAAAAAGATACAACTTTACAGATGACCAATGAGCACATGCAAATATGCTCACCCTCCCTAATCATCAGGGAAATGCAAATCAAAACCACAGTGAGCAATCATCTCATACCTGTTAGGATGGCTATTATCAAAAAAACCCAGAAAACAGAAAATAACAAGTGTTGACAAGGATGTAAAGAAACTGGAACCCTTGTTCACTGTTGGTGGGAACGTAAAATGGTGCAGCTGCTGTGGGAAACAGTATGGTGGTTCCTAAAAAAATTAAACATAGAATGACCATAGGATCAAGCAATTCCACATCTGGGTACATACTCCAAAAAACTGAAGGCAGGGATTTGAACAGATATTTGTACACCCGTGTTCATGGCAGCACTATGAACTGCAGCCAAAAGGTGGAAGCAAGCCAAGTGTCCACTGATGGATAAACAGATAAAATGGAATATTATTCAGCCTTAAAAACGAAGGAAATTCTGGCAACTATGGAATGGGAGAAAATATCTGCAAAACTTATATCTAATAAGGAGTTAATCTCCAGACTGTATTAGGAACTTCAAATCAATAGCTAAAAAAAAAAAAGAAAAGAAGAAACCCAACCCAAACTAATAACCTGATTAGAAAATGAGCTTAGCACTTGAATAGACATCTCTCCAGAGAAGACATACAGATGGCCAACAGGTACATGACAAGATGCTCAATGTCATTAACCATCAGGGAAAAAATGTAAAACAAAACTTCACCCCTGCCAGGGTGGCTGTTATCAAAACGTCAAAAGATAAGTGTTGGCAAAAGGATGTGGGGAAACTGGAACCTTCGTACACTGTTGGTGGGAATGGAAAAACGATACAGCTACTGTAGAAAACAGTATGGAGGTTCCTTAAAAAATTCAAATAGAACCACCAAACCACCATATGATGCAGCAATTCCAATTCTGGGTATATATTCAAAAGAGTTGAAGCCAGAATCTTGAAGAGATATGGGTACTCCTAAGCTCATTGCAGCACTATTCACAATAGCCAACATGCAAACAACCTAAGTGTTCATTGATGGATGAATAGATAAAGAAAATGTGGTATATACATACAATGGAATACTATTAAGCCTTAAAAAAGGAGATTCCACTATATGAGACATGGATGAACTTTGAGAACATTATGCTAAGTGAAATAAGCCAGTCACAGAAGGACAAATACTGCATGATTCCACTTATATGAGGTATCTAAAGTAGTCAAATTCACAGAATCAAAGAGTGGAACGGTGGTTGCCAGGGACTGGGGGAGGGGGAAAGGGGGAGTTACTGATCAATGGGCAGAAAGTTTCAGTTAAGCAAGATGAGTAAGCTCTAGAGGTGTGTTGTACCTATTGTACATTCAAACATTTATTAATACGGTGGATCTCATCTTAAGTGTTCTTACAACAATAAAATAAAAATGAAAAGAAGGGACATTCTGACACATGCTACAACATGGATGAACTTAAGCTAAGTGAAATAAGAACCTCGGAGACATTATACTAAGTGCAAGAAGCCAGACACAAAAGGACAAATACTATATGATTCTACTTACATGAGGTCCCTAGAGTAGTCAAATTCATAGACACAGAAAGTAGAAGGGTGGGTGCCAGGGGCTGGGAGAAGTGGGAGAATCGGGGAGTGATGCTTAGTACATATAGAGTTTCAGTTCTACGAGATGAAAAGAGTTCTGGAGACGGATGGTGGTGATCGTTGCACGACAATGTGAACGCACTTAATGCCACTGAACTGTACACTCAAAATGGTTAAAATGGTAAATTTTCAGTTCTGTCTACTTTATCACACATACACTCACATGAACAGCTGTAAGTGAGAAAATAAGACCTCAAAGAGCAACGTTCTGAGGTTCACACATCAGAAGCCTCAAGTCTTTTTCCTTTAAAATGATAGGTCTCTGAATTAAAACCAGTACGTATGCCCTTGTTCCTCTATACACACTGGGACAAGGCCTTAGGCTAAAAAGAATCTAGGACGAGAACCATCTTCTATTAGGGAAACCCAAGCGCCTGGCTCCACTTCTGGGCAAGGCGGAGGAAGGTCACTGATTGATAGGATTAGATACAGAGAGAAGGGAGTGAGCCCATCACCGCCTTCCTGCTGGGGAGAGTCTCCAGCTAGTGAGTCCTGGGGACAAAAGGACGGGATAGTCTGTCCATTTCGAACCAGATAGAGACAAGTGTTCCTTCCTTCGCGAACATGGGAGACCAGGCTCTTTGTGAAGGGGAAATCCAGAGCAGCTCAGAGGGGTGTGTTGGGGTAGTCGGGGCCTGGCCTGCTGCTGTCCACACACTCAGTGCAGGAAGCTAAACTGTGGCCACCGCGAGCTCGATACCCTAGTCTGTGGAAGAACGACGCCAACAACATCCAAGGCTTCTCACCACTTCCCCAAAAGTCTCAATCAGCTCAATCTTGTCCTTTCATGGATCTGAGGTGTCTCTGTGCTTCTGTCAGTCATTCACCTCTCTGCTGGTCTATTTACTTTTAGGACACAGAAAGGCCCTGATTTTGAATTTGTGGTGGCCACTGACAAAGCCAACAGCCTGCCTGAGAGCTTTAGCTTATGCTGTTCCCTCCACCTGGAATATTCTCCCTGTCGTCTCCACGGTGGGCTTCTCTGCTCAGCTGTCACCTCTGTGAAACCTCCTCCCCCTCCCCGGGCAAGGTTAGCAGCTTCCTCAGAACAGGTTTCTGTTCTCATTGTAACAGCACACAGCTTTAGGCTTTCTCCCTGCCACATGTGTCCTGGCCCGCCAGGCTGTGAGCCCCTGGAGGGCCAGCAAGGACCCTGGAATGGAGAGTATGAGTTGAACTGTGCTGCTGCGGCTGGTCTAAGAGGCCTCATCTGTAGAGCAGCGATCCTTCCCACAGACTTCAGAGTTGCTGTAGGGCTGAAACAAGCCTCAGGGGTAAAAGGGGAGCTGTAACTTGTCAAAAAGTTGTAAAAAAGCACCCTGGTGTCAGCTCACTCACTCATACATTCCCTCATTCACAAGGCCATTGCTAAACAGAACCTTGCACAGCACGGACATTCAGGGAGTTCAGCATCTGGGGTGGGAGTCAGGCTTAGCAGAACATTGCAGAAGTGCCTTTGACTTCCGATGAGGGTAAACCCAGGCGGGGAGGAGATCCCTAAGCCAAGTTCTAAGGCCCTGGAGGCGTGAGTCAAACAGAGGGGCTGGCTGTCTGGCTTGTACTCATAGGGAGGCTGCTGCTGAAGGCCTGAAGTGGGAGAGGAGCGAGCAGCAGAGGTGGGAAAGAGAAAACAAACGGAATTTAAGGCGGAAAATGGATAGAACTTGGAGGCTGGTTAATGGGAAGGGGGCACGAAAAGAGTAAATACGACTGCAAGGTTTCGGACCTGGTTTATGCTCAAAGAGGAAGAGGGTAAAGAGCAGAAGGTCGGCGAACACTGTAGTTTAATGAATGTCAATAAACCTCAGGCTTTTTTCAGCCTAAAAAACTTATGCTCTGTCCCCTGCCCAGAAGGGAAGCAGGTAAGGGCTGAGAGCACACGCCCCGTTGTAATTCTCCAGGCAGGTCTCACACTTCCAAAACTCCTGTGACTTTGCTCAGGAGGTGTCTCCGCCTGCAATGCCCCTCACTATCCACCTGGAGTGTTTGGGTGCCAAAAAGAATATATTTTGATGACCTGCTCCCTCTCACGCTCATATCTGCTTCACTCCCTTCGAAGTCCGCTCCCAGGCCTCCAGCTCACTTCCCTGGGCTGCTTTAAGCCAGGCGAGAACTACAGTGATCCTGTCTTGGAACCTACTTGAGAGGCAGGGGGTGCTCTTGAAGGGACACGCTCAAAGAAAGAGCCTCAGCTGCATTTGGCCGCTAACTCCCAGACGTCCGAACCTCTGCGACAAGGCTTGGCACGTCCCTTCCCTTCTCCGGGTCTCAGTTGCCCAGTGAGTACAGTGTCTGCTCCAACACGAAAGGTGACGCTCTCCTCTGGCCTCTCTGACCCTAACTCAATCTCAGGCCAGACCAGAGAGTCCCTGACCCGGATCGCCCCACCCAACCCTTCCAGTCCTGTCGCCGACACAAGGGCGAGGTCGCAACCCTTACCCGTCCGTAGGCGGCCCCCTGGCTGTCCCCAGCGCGTCCGCAGCCTTCATCCTCAGCGCTCCAGCGGCCGGCAGCCACCCTTTTCTCCCCGCCCGCGTGAGCCGAGGATCTGCCGAGGCTCTTCCACCAAGGTAATTGGCTCGGTTCGGTGCTGGCTCAGCCAGTCGGCGCTCGCGGCGTGATCCTGCCCAATGAGGCCAGGCCGCGAACGCACAGCCCCCGGCCCTGCGCCGGGAGTTCTTCGGATTAGCCCCACCCACTCCAGCCCTGTGCCAATGGGGAGCGGCAGCGAGCGGTCCGCCAATGGGGAGCGACGCCGCGCGCGCGGGGCGGTGGGAACGGAGTCGAGTCACTGTGTACGTCGGTTGCCGTAACAACGGGAAGTGGAGTCCATCCGCGATGGTGAGTGCGTGCCGCCGTCTGGAACCCCGCGTCCAGAGGCTGAGCCCTTCCCAGGCCTTGGCAAGGCCCCGCCGCCTCTCCTGCGCGGTTCTCGGCCTTGGCGCACTCCTTCCTCTGGGAGCTTTACCCGGAAGGGTAGGGTAGAGATGCCGGCTGCCCTGATGGGCCTGTGCTTCGTCGCTGTCTCCCCTGCAGCCACAGCCGCCCCCTACCCGCCCCTCGGGTTCCCCTGGCCTTCTCCAGCCCCTTCGGTGACCGTCCCTGGGCAAAAAAGACTAGGGTTCCCCCCAGGCCCCGACCCCTCTCTGACTCTGGCCTTCTGGCCGCCTCTACCAAAGAAGTTTCCACACACAGCTGGGGGGCAGTTTATTATGTTTGATTGTTAATGCATTTAAAATGTTAAATATAGGGACTTAGGGAAACGCTTTGAGCTTCTTGGAGAAGGCTCAGAGGTACCAAGGGGATTGAATTTTATTATTCGATATTGACAGAACATATATCTCACCTTAGTAATATTTGGCCTAAATCTAGAAGTAATCAGAAAATCGGAGAACTTAGAGTGAAGAGGAGTAGCGTTCTAAGGACATTTTTATAATTAGGATCCCCAGATCCAGGGAGAGCTGGTTATCTGTACAGTTCTCCCCAGTCAGCTCCTTGGCTAGCTCTCTTTTGGGATGATTTTTCAATAAGAGACGTCCAAAAGAACAAGGGATTTGCTTGTTTCTACAAACAATAGTTTGTTAAGCAAAGTTTTGGAATTCGTTGGTATAAGCTATCTTAAAATACGTGTGGTTGTAACTATTTTATGTAAAATGCGGACTCCTACTTAATATTGTGCTTCTGTGTTTGTAAAACATATAAAGGCCTCTAACTTTAAGAAGGCAAACATGGCATCGACTGCCCAGCGAAAAAGGATGAGTCCTAAACCAGAGCTTACTGAAGAGCAGAAACAGGAAATTCGAGAAGCTTTTGATCTCTTCGATGCTGACGGAACTGGGACAATTGATGTTAAGGAACTTAAGGCAAGCCCTA